TAAAAACACAGCCGAAATTCGGAACGTCATTGAGCGTCATGGAGCACTGCACTACGTAAAAATTATGTATGGAGACTGGAAAATGTCTTAAAAGAGATTAAAATGTTCAAGATGCTTCCGGGAATTTCTAAAACCTACAAAGGACAAGTTTTCAAATGGCTGTAGCTTCATAAGAATGGAAGGATTAACATTTTAAATGATTAACTCCATCGATATTTCAATACCCCCGTATCGCAAGGATGTTGCGTTGCGCCTACATGGTTTTGCATAGTTTCCATACTTGATCGATTAACTGCATAGACTTTTTAAAGATCTCAACAATATCCAAATCAGTACAAAAGACATTATATAGAAGAAAAATAACATATCTTGATATAGATATTCAATTTTAAAGTAGAAAAAAGATGAGAAAAATCTGAAGAAATGAAAGATTTATAGAACTGCGACAAAGCTTAACCGGCTGAAATCTGGTTGTCACGTCGCTTTACGTCAAGTGACTGCTCCGTGAACCCATGACCTAATAGTAAAAATCGTTGTAAATTTTCAAGATTTTATTATATGGACCTGATTTTTTACATGCCAATTAAAAAAATATAGGAATTTATTCAGACATAGGTCAAACTTCACAGTACACAACAGATTTTTTCGTAATTCAAAGTGTCCGCGAACTTTTCTAACGACCCTCGTAGATGCCTTTATTTTACGAGAAAAATATATTTTTTTTTTTATAAATTTATTACAAATAACAAAAACATAATATACATGTCACACACATGTACAATACATTGATTAGATAAGTTGAACAATTACATTCTTTCTATTTGTCATGTGAGAATCATATATTTGAAATAAATAATCAAAATATCAAATTGAAAAAAAGTCCTTTAAAAATACAGCTGAGTAACTTATGTATAATTGTAAGTACCCTTACATATCTTGGAGACCACACCTCCAGTTCAAAAAGTCTATTTATTGTCTCCCAGATAAGATTTGTAGAACAACAGGCTTATTCTACAATGGGTTGATGAATTATAGTTTGTCTCTAATACATTTTATTATATTACAATATGTCATATGGTGAATTTTCTTATATACTTCTGAATAAATATTCAACATACTCTTCATATAATAACATATTTCTTTAGGCTTTTCTTCTTTGTTTTCTAGTCTACAGTACATTTTGTATTTGTAAATTTTACATGCATTCAGGGATATTATACTATTCAAACATAATAACTTTTCATTTTTTTCATTATAAAATCCAATAACAATATTTTTCCACGATATATCAAATTTCAAAACTTCCTGTACAATATCCCATATGTGAGACACATTTTGACATTTTAGAATAAGATGTTCATTGTTTTCTTTTACATCTCTACAAAAGTCACACAATTCATTTTCAACATGTTTCCATTTCTTCAACATTTCTCTATTACACAATAAGTTATTTAATAATCTATAATTAAAGTCTGATATTCCTCTATCTACAATTGCTAATGTTTTTTGTTCATATATAGATTTCCAAGCAACTTTTGGAATTTCAAACAATTTTTCATAATAATATTGATGTAACGGAGGTTTAAATTTATCATGACATAAAATGCTATAATCAATTTTGAAGTAATATCAAAAACTGTTACTTGATGATGATATAGTAAATCATATACATTATTTTCATATTTGATATTTTCATACTGTATATTTGTAAAATCATAATCTACAAAAGCTTTCAAAACTACATTTTTCATTATCATATATTCACATAACCAATTACTCTTACATACAAGTTTATCATTAAACCATTCTATGGGTTGCATACCATTTTTGTCTACAATATCCCCAATATACTTAAAACCACTTTTCAGCCAATTTACAAAAAATAGTGGCTTGTTTTTAAACTTCATTTTATTACTGCACCACAGTGGTTCCTTTAATAATGCATTTAAATTTAGTTCTCTTTTGTTTCTTTTACATTCATTAAAAAATACAAGCATTTCTTTGTAAAACAAAGGAAAGTTTTCCATAATTTGATAATCTTTGGTATCAATAACATTTGTTTTACAAAGATATTCAAAATCAAAATTTCTCTATCTACACAAACTATCAACAAAAAAGAATAAGGAATTTGTTTTATTTAATATGTTTTTAATCCACGATACTTTTATGGAATTTAGTTTTAAAGGTACATCGACAATACCTATTCCTCCTTCTTGAACACTTCCAATCTGAGTGTTTCGTTTTATTCTGTCTTTTTATTCAATACAAAATTGAAAATTAGACTTTGTATTTTCTTAACTGTATTTTCATTTGGAAAATTTAAAATTGACCCAACATATATTATTTTTGATATTGCTCGACTATCAATTACACAGACTTTGCCAAGAATTGTTAATTTTCTTTTTTTCCAAGATTCAAAAAGTTTTTCTAAGTCGTCTACAATTTTTGTCCAGTTTTTATTGTAACATAGTTCCTTATCATGCCCTATGAAGATCCCTAAGGCTTTTATACAAGAATTATTAACGTCAACATTTTCTATTTGCCGATACAAATTTTTCCATTGGCCTGTTAAAAGACATTCTGTTTTGGACATGTTTAGTTTCATACCAGATACTTTACTGAATTTTTCTATAACCTCTAAAGAATGTTTGAGGGACTTCTTATCTTTTAATGGAAGTGTGCAGTCATCTGCATGTTGTATAATCTTTATAATATCAGTCATTCCAGGTTTTTGAAAACCCTTAATGTTAGAATTTGATCTAATAGCAATGGCTAATACTTCTACTACGAATAGGAATAAAATAGCAGAAATAGGACATCCTTGTCTTATACCTCTATGCATATAACATGTTTTAGATATCCAACCATTATTTTTTATTCTAAATACAGGCTTATCATATAAAATGGTGATCCATTTCAAGAAATTTTCGCCAAAATTATATTTTTTAAGAACTTTCAGCATAAAATTCCATTCTACAGAGTCAAAAGCCTTTTGGAAGTCTAGAAATAACAATATTGAATCCACGTTATTTTCTTCACAATATTCAAAAATATCAACAATTAATCTTGCATTTAAGGCTATGTTGCGCCCTTTTATGTATACTGATTGATTTACATGTATTGCATTATTTAGTATTTTTTGAAGTTTATTAGCTAAGATAAATGCTATTATTTTATAATCAGTATTTGTTAGACTAATAGGTCTATAATTTGTTATATTCTTAGAGTCACCTTTTTTAAATAAAAGAGTTATTAAAGATAACCTTTGTGTATATGCCATTTGGTTTTTTTCAAAAATCTCCTTAAGAGTCGAATAATAATAATCTTTAATATTTTCCCAGAATGTTTGGTAAAATTCACAAGGTAGTCCATCAAGTCCTGGTGATTTATTTTTCTTCATGTTAAATACTGCTTCTTTACAATCAGATATTGAAGGAAGTTCATCTAAATCTATTCTTTCCTTATCATTTATAGTATATTCTAACTGTAATTCTTTGAGATATTCCTCTATCTTATTATCAGTTACATTTTCTGAAGAGTATAATTTTTCAAAAAAATTACATGTTGAATGCAATATTTCATCCTCATCAAAAACAGTTCCGTGCTCAGTATTTAAAGATTTTATTATGTTTGATATCTGTCTTTTCTTTTTTCTAAGGTTAAGAAATATGAAGTGTTTTTCTCTCCATTTTCAATCCAGTTTGCCCTTGATCTAACTTGAGCACATCTTGCTTTTTTGTTTATCAATTCTGTTAATTCGTTTTCTAATTTTCTTTTTCTATTCATATCAATTTTTTCATAGGGCAGGTCTTCTATGTTTTTTAATTCTTCTTGAATAAAATTTATTTTACTTTTGTAAGATTTTGATAGATTTTTGGAAAAGTTAATACAAAAATCTTTTACATTTCTCTTTAAATCTTCCCATGATTCTATTGGGTTTTCTCTATCATAATTAAAATCTTTGAGAAAAGTTTTCATATCACTGATAAAATTTTCATTTTCAATTAAAGATGTGTTGAATTTCCAGTATCCTGGACCTCTAAGATTTTCATTTACTAACATGAAGAAAATTATACATTTATGATCAAACATTCTTGTTCCATTTGAATGTGAACCAGGGATGTTTTGGAGTCTTATAGTTTTACATTGATAACAAAAAGTATTTGAAAGTAAAATATAGTTAATTCTGCATGTTGGAGTATTTTCTCCATTACACCAAGTATACCCTTGTTTATCACTTTTCATAGTTTTCCATAAATCATGCAAATTTAACTTATTCAAAAGTTGTTTAAAGAAAGAGTAGTTTTATCATTATTGTTGTCCGACACACAGTTCAGATCGCCGCATATCAGCATATTTTCAAAACTTTCTGTGTATTTACTTATCCAGTCTTTAGTACGTTTAAAAAAATCTGTTCTATTGTTTATATCATTAGGAGCATAAATATTGACAAGCGTAATTATTTTCTCATCATACTCTATATTTACCAGCAGTTTTCTTCCATGCTCCGTGAACCCATGACCTAATAGTAAAAATCGTTGTAAATTTTCAAGATTTTATTATATGGACCTGATTTTTTACATGCCAATTAAAAAAATATAGGAATTTATTCAGACATAGGTCAAACTTCACAGTACACAACAGATTTTTTCGTAATTCAATGTGTCCGCGAACTTTTCTAACGACGCTCGTAGATGCCTTTATTTTACGAGAAAAATATATTTGAGTTTATAGGTCCCCAGTATTTGTTATTTGAACGTTGGCTTGTCATGGTCGTGTTTGGTTGACACACATCAAGTGTAGTATATAAAAGGTCGGGTTTGATCTTCACATTCCTTTCTCCTGAACCTTTCGAAGGTAAAGACGCATAACAATTGCTTGCAATAAAATGCATGAAATTTTGTTTTGTAACTTTGACCCCCCCCCTCCCACTACGTTATTTTTAGAATGTCCATGTTATCTAAGTAAAGAATGATATAAGCATTGATGTCCTCAGAATATCTAAATTTGCAAATTGATGCCGCAGGGTCACACAGTTTTGCTGTAGTTTTGGGTTCAAAATGGTTTGCAGATAGATGGCCTGATGCCCTTATATAATGTCAAATATGCATCAAAAAACTTTTTCCAATTGCTATAACATTTAGAATTATGTGGGCACAAGCTTCAAAAAAAAAAAACAAACAAACAAAACCAAAAAAAAAAAGACTTTTCTTATTTGACAATAAGGCAGTAGTAGATGGCATAAATAAACAGTCATCTGGTGAACATAACCTTATGAAATTATTTTGTCGGCTTGTACTAGTGGCAATACAGTGCAAAATTCACTTTAGAGCTAACCATGCTTCAATAAAATCTAATGTACGTGCTGACAGACTCGAGCATTATTCACCAAGCACATTGGCATCACATGTTTCGGCCATTTAATTTTTCAAAAAATTCTGAATTTGCCAGACTCATCTAAGAATTTTGTTTTTGGTTCAGAAATTGTTAAAAAGGGTGTCAAAAATCATGCCAAAGAACAGCCTCAAGACTCCAATAACAAGGGAAATTCGGAGGGATATTCCTACAAAAATTTAAAAGCTATACGTCTTACAAGGCCTACTTGGAATAACCGAATTCTTTTAAGAGCATTAGATTGGGAGAATTATTTGTCAGGACACTGCAATCTATGAATCAAGTGTTTTTAAGGTCAAACATACTTTTTAAAACTGGGCAAGGATATTGAAAATTGTAAGTTTAATTTTATGTCACACACAAAAACTAGCAATCTGGTCAGTCAGTTACCATCTACCTAGAGGCCCAGTCTAAAAAAGATCTCTGTCCTGTGTTTCCCCTTTTTGAGTATATGTGCCAATTTAAACATTCAAAGGGGACCCCTTTTTCAATTAATTGATGGAACTCCAGTTTCACAGTCATTGGTTTCAAAACATTTAGGTGCAAGTTTTACATTCATGGGTTTGAATAAAAAAAAATTACAAAGGTTATGCTTTTTGTATTGGGGCAACTACTCATGCAGCTAGGTTGGGTTCTTCAAAAAATGCAATTCAACGTATGGGTAGACGGAAATTTGATGCAGTCAAGAGATATATAAATACAGGATCCTTTACTCTTTCTCTCCAGTAGTTTGGTTTTTATTTTTGTGTGTTTTTTCTCCTCAATTCATTAAATTGATAAGGTATAGTCTACTACCCTCTCCTAATGATAACAGTACAGCACAAAACATCTGCTTATAAAGGTCGTCCTGCAATCAATTTTGTATTGGTCAAATTAATCTTGTCATCTTCATGTAGCCTGTCCCTTAATTAACTATAAATGGGTCAGATTATGCCTGTCAGGTTCATGTAGGTATACCCGTTGTCCTAAGATAAGCTGTAAATGGGTCAGATTATGTTGGTTGGTTCATGTAGGTTGTCCCCAGTTAAGCTTTCAAAGGTCAGATTATGTTGGTTGTGTTCATTTAGGTTGTCCCCAGTTAAGCCTTCAATGGGTCAGATTATGTTGGTTGTGGTCTTGTAGGTTTCCCCAGATAAGTTGTAAATGGGTCAGATTATGTCTGACATGTTCATGTAGGTTGCCCCCAGATAAGCTGTAAATGGGTCAGATTATGTCTGACATGTTCGTGTAGGTTGTCCCTAGCTAAGCTGTAAATGGGTCAGATTATGTCTGATATGTTCATGTAAGTTGTCCCTAGATAAGCTGTAAATTGGTCAGATTATGTCTGACATGTTCATGAAGGTTGTCCTTAGGTCAGATTAAGATGGTTCAGATGAGGTCTGTCATCCCCTTCCCCCTACAATTTATTACCATTGAGTTACCTTCAGTCATCTGCAATGGATGATTAGAGAGTAAATAACAAATTGGAGCATGAAATAAAGGACTCAGCATTTGTAATGTTTACTGCAAATCATTTGTATAGACTAATTTACTGTTTGCAATGTAATTAATTAATTGTAATTAACCATTTCCAATATGTTATTTTATTACATCAATACAAATATTTTAAACCTTTGTACTAGAAATATTGTTTATCATGATTTATATAAATGCAATTAAAATGTGGTAAGTTACAGGGGTTTGCTGACCAGAATCTTTTCTTAAACATGTATATTAAGATTATTATGTTTTTTCTCCTATGTTGTCCATGTACGTGGGTTGTTTCCCTTGGGTGGCGGAAAATCCAATGTAGTTGGATTTTTGGTGGCCTATTGTTTGTTGCCACCTTATTTTTCAGCTTAAATGTTTGATATATTTGTGTTTTTTGAGTATTGTCATGATGTTATTTTAAAGTTTTGGGAGATCCATAACAAGGTGTAGATACAAATTGTAGAAAGTCATAGGATCTCCCAAATTTCATGTGTTTCATTTGTGTCATTAATAAATGACATATTTACAACAATACTCATTTTTGGTTTTCATTCAATCTGAAAAATAACAGAGCTGCGGGAAACTTGGTTTTAAATTTGCATTATTATCATATAGAAGGCATAATGTAATATTTTTGACAATAATATGTTTTATGCATACATATGTAATTTACCATTTTCTGTGGTTAGAATGTAGTGATTGTAGTATATTTCATGTATATATCAGGTTTCAGAGATAGGATGTTATGTAATGCATAGTCTCAGGTTTACGGGCTTTGCGTTGATTAGTCGTGAGCTAACGTCGGATATATCACGTGATTATTATTGCTGGTTTATGCTGCAGGTGTTTGTACACACCAATTTTTGTAGAAAAACATACCCTCCACCTCCCCGTACAACCGTCCCTAAGGTTAAACTTTACTTTGGGATGTATTTTGATAATTTCTTCTGTCTCGTGGCCTATTGTTTGTTGCCACCTTATTTTTCAGCTTAAATGTTTGATATATTTGTGTTTTTTGAGTATTGTCATGATGTTATTTTAAAGTTTTGGGAGATCCATAACAAGGTGTAGATACAAATTGTAGAAAGTCATAGGATCTCCCAAATTTCATGTGTTTCATTTGTGTCATTAATAAATGACATATTTACAACAATACTCATTTTTGGTTTTCATTCAATCTGAAAAATAACAGAGCTGCGGGAAACTTGGTTTTAAATTTGCATTATTATCATATGGAAGGCATAATATTAATTCTGCTGTTTTTTTTTTTTTTTTTTTTTTTTGCTTTATTTTGCAGTGAAACAGTTTGATCCGCTTGCCGAGATAAATACCTTATACCCATAGAAAAATATCCCGGTACTGTCTAAGGAGAAGATAAAGTGAATAATCTACCAAATGAGGCCCACATCAAGTCTATTGCCTGTCTCAAGGATTGTGCTAAACATGCGCTAAAGTGTCGCTGTGGAATTTCCGTACCGAATAGTGTTGCAAAATTGTGAAACTTTCTATCGTTTATAAAATCAAATTCGTAGCATATAGTTTTTCATAGGACTTATATTTTAAACTAAAAGAAACCGTCGTGGCACTTTTTCAAGGAGAAGTCATTAGTGTGAAGCGTTTGCGCACACCAAGTCAACTGATAACTGAATGTTTGTGAGAAACTTGTAATAAACTGTCACCTTGTTGAAATGCTAATGCTAGTGTTAACTAAACTAATAAGCTTACTCTTGGTGACAGTAATATATACTTTAAAACTGTACTACATGCACATCATACAGGTTTAAGATATGAAAAATGCTGATATTTGAAGTTTGGGATGTTTGATCTATGACGTTTGAGATATTAATGATATATGATATACAAGATTTGATAAAATAAGTTGATATGCTATATATTTGGAATTTGAGATAAGACTTATTGATTGATTGATTGATTTGAAGAGTTTGTATGTGTGCTGACCCTCCGCGGTTAACCCGGGACGGTTAATAAAAAGAAACACACATTGTTGATGTTCGAATTTGAAGGGTTCGCCCAATTTTGTATTGTGCCACGGCTAATACTCGCCACAATAAATAAATATAAATTCTATATTGAGTCTTGTGTCTATTTTCTATATATTCTATATTTTATATTTATGTATAAATAATAAATAATTAATAATTTTAATAAACTGCATGGACTCTTGCTTGTGCATGTTTACGTCGATATCATAATACCCTGTGTATGATTACGATATCTTTGTTCACATTAAAACGATACATGTATTTGATGTGTAATCTACAGGAATCATTGGAACGAAACTTTCGTAGAATCATTCGTAGTTGAAATGTTCAAGTCAAGAAACATTCGTAGTTTAAATGTTCAGGTCAAGAATTATTCGTAGTTTGAATGTTCAGGTCAAGAACAGTCGTAGTTTGAATGTTCAGGTCAGGAATCAGTCGTAGTTTAAATGTTCGGGTCAAGAATCATTCCCAGTTTAAATGTTCAAGTCAAGAAATTGGAAAATATAACTATAATATCTACTTATTAAAAAGAGATAGAGAGAGCCGAGAAATGTAAAATTAGTGAACATTAGACACAATTGATAACTCATCACTTGTTATTTCTTATTTGTGAATTTAACATTTGCCGATTCGTTAGTAGTGTAAAATAATATGTCATTATTTCTGAAATAGTGGGCTTGACAAATGTCTTGGTCTCATGAAAAGACCCTTGAATGACCTTCTTGTTCGAAAACTATATGATATGAAATATTCTTGATCACTTGAGGCAGTCTGTGAGGTTACAACAGTTAAAAATCAATTAACAAACAATCATTGACTCTCATATCGCCTAGTATCCATTCATTGCATTAGTAGCCATTCCAAATTCATCAAACTTCCGGTTGACCTAGTTTTATGGAACACTTTTTTAACCAATTGCATGCTGCTTAATTAAAGCCATTGCATTCTGTAGTTTGCATTTTTATGTTGCTTATCTATTTGTAACAATTTATCATTAGTGGAATTCATAATTGTTTAACTGTTTTCATTTTTTACAGATTTTTCTAAAGGAACACTTTGCAGACGCCATACTGTCTGCTCTAGCACGCTCTGCTAGCGTCAAACGCCGCATACGGTGTAACTATTTTACCGATTTTTTTAAGCAGTACAAATGTAAAGAACACAAATACAATGAAAAAAAAATCTTCGAAAATGGAAAGGACACGAGTTTACCTGGTAATTCTTTCTATGAATTGGTCACACTGCAGTAAACATTGTAGTTATTTATAAGTTTTAATATTAGTATGCCTTATTTTTCATGAAATTAACATATTTATATATCAAAAACATCATAAACAGGTTTTTAAAAAGTAAAATATTAATTTCCTTAGGTTATACGTTAGCAGTTGTGTGAATATGAATTGAATTGAATATATTTTATCGACAATTTTGTGTGGTGTTTTTCATGTACATGTATTTGTACTAAGATATTTCTGTTCTTCATTTCTTGAAATGTGACAAGAGTAATAATTTTACGGAGAAATTGCCGACAATTAACACTCGGAGTCAGTATTTTGTTCTTGTTCTTTTTTAACCCCCTTTCCTGCAGTCACACATTTTAACGCATGCACTGTTTATGATTTCCTATTTATAACGTAAAATCATGCATTTAACGTTTCCCCGCAATCACGCATTTTCATGCACTTTAAAAAGTTAATTTTATCTTCAAATTAGTCCCAAATTTTCTTTTATTATATTATTGCTAAATCTCATAAAATGAGAAAAGTTATTTTCTTATTCGAATATTACATCATAATATAATTTACGCTTAACTTAAGAAAAAACTTCTACCGCGCTATAGGTGCTTGCAGGGAAATGGTAATTACATATTTCTATGACGTGAGCATGTGAGTTGCATAACAGTTCCGTAAGTTGTAAAGAGTTAATGAATAATTCTTTGTTAAGCTAACGTCTGCTTGTTATCCTCGCCATTGGGACGTGATTTTGTGGCCTTCTTAAAAAAAAACCAATAAATATTACCGTATAAGTGGAAATTTTAGCGAAACGCAAATTTAGCGATTTCTCCCTAAAATCTGTTATTTTATTTTTAGCGAGAAGCAATTTTAGCGATTTTAAAATGCTTACTAAAGAAGCTTATACAAATATAATGCGATTTATTTTTAGCGATATTCAATTTTAGCGATCACAACAGCCTCGCTAATAATGCCAATATCAAATCCTCGCTAAAATTTCTACTTATACGGTAATCATGACTTGATGTTTACTATCGTTTTCTATTCTTTTTGCAAAATGTTAATTAAAAGACTAGGTTTGAAGATAACAAGTCTTTTTAAAAAAATATATTTACATAAACAGATATTCATTTATGGAAGATCGTTAACAGTAGTTAATGCAAAGTAAAAAAAATTAGAGTAATTAGTGTCTGAAAAATTGTTATACTATCAATTATGATAGATTGTTTTTCTGCTTCGTTTAAAAAAGGCTGTATTTAGAATGGATATGAATGTAGAACTTTATCAGAAATCATTGTACCGTTGATCTGGAAGAAATTGATAAAAAACATTTGAATTAAAAACAACAAAAAAGTAAAGTGTAATTTCGCCATTTTCACATGAGAAACGTTTGTGTGGAGAGAGGGTTACCTTAAACTTGGTATCTTATTAGCTGACACAAAAAACGAAAGAAAAAAGTCTGACGTTATTTTAAAATTGCTTCAGATGCTGGATTTAATCACATTTACATGATGAAGAGCTAGTTTGAAGCTTTTATATAGGTCTATTTCAAAGTATCAAATCAAAATTGCATAAATTTTGCATTTTTGGATGTACACTTTTTAGTCAACATTTGTAGAGGTGAGCTCTGTAATCTCTGATTACCTACGTTTTCCGTTATTTCCTGATCATGACAAGGAGCACATGGCGGGTGTGACCGGTCGGCAGGGGATGCTCGCTCCTCCATGGCACCTGATCCCACCTCTGATATTTCAGGGGTCCGTGTTCGCTCTGCTCTTATTTTGTATTGTTTTATGGACTTTGAGATTGTATACTGTTCGTTATTTCCATATCCTTCTATTCTATAAGAAGTATAGCAAGTATCCATGTGAGCAATAAGTGTTAATGAAAAATACGGAGATAACAAACAATATTCAGATCAAATGTCCATAAACAATACGAAATAGGAGTAGAGCAAATACTATATTTTAGAATTCAAACAGCCATATAATAATATCTTAATGGCAAGGATTAGTAACAAACATTTTGCCGACAAAAAGAATTTGGGTTCAAGAACAAAATTGATTTTCGAATTCAGTTCTTAAAATTGTTGTACAAAGAGTCATAAATATATTCTGATGACAAAAAGTGAATTTCAGAATACAGTAATATTTTATTATACGCTCATATAATGTGACGTACAGGTATTATGACATTGCCATAATTTCCCGCCTTTAATATATCTCTGGCTATCAACTTTTCCCTGTTTATCTCATGACCATAATTTGTTGATGTTTAGAGTCATTAACCTTTGTCATCTGATGTATCTTCAGTAAGAGGAGAGTCGTACATTCAATTCGATCATGATTACTGTCATTTAAAGTAAAATATCAAATATTCTGCTCATAAGAGAAAATTTCTTCAGCCAAGACATCACTAAAATTCAAATGGCCATGTATCTGGAACAGATGGCGTGTCATTAAGATAATTCTGGCCTTCGAACCTGCACATAGCAAACTAAACAGAACTCTAAAAAAAGGAGATATTTATTATTGTCCGCCATTTAACCCCCTTTTGTTTTTATTTCTCGGGTCAATACCTGTATATAAGTCTCTGATTTTTTAAAGGTTTGAAGTATTTCGTTCACAGATCACCTGTGTTGACGTGCTTGATCGCCACTGTTAAAGAGACGCGATAAAACTTTCAAATGTATATATTATTTATGTTTTGGTAAGATTGATTGATTGCCTTTAATTTTACGTCCTGTTCGAGATTATTCACTCGTATAGAGACATTACAATATACCAGTGAAGGGATTCAAAATTAGACCTTTAATTGGAACCCAGGGCCATTAAGCAGTGAAGGTTCTTAATCGTACCAACGCCTATCGTGACACAGGACATCGGTTTTTAAAGTGTCATCCGTAAGAACCCGCAACT